CCAGTGGGAAACCAATTCATGGCCTCGAAACTTGAGGATGATGAAGGTTGTGGATTTGCTTTATCCTTAGCTGCGTCTGAAGTTTTGATACTATATGTGGAGGTTGAGGAAATTCAGAATGATATTAATTTGGATGAAGACCTATCGAGTAAAATTCGTGATTCAGTCGTAGTAGATCATGTACATGAGATGCATGATGCTGCGGGGATGGCCTTGGCAATCCCAATTACATATGTCGGGTATGTTAGTTTTAAAGGAGATTTTGGTTTTTCTAAAGTAAAATCATATTCAATATTATCTAATATTATATAAGTATAAATACATATCCACACAAACTCCATACCATCAGAATTTGGCCGATCCTTTAACACAATCCCAGGGTACTTCTATTTTTGAAGTCAATGATATTAGATTATCAGCTCCTACTATCAATGATGAAGGGTATGAGACAATGAGCAGTGGTTCAAGTGATGATGAGGATGAAGAGTTTGATGATATCCTCCATGATTTTACTGCAACTAATGTAGGTGTTCAGCCAAATACCAATGATATTATTCGTGATTACTGTACAAGGACTGCAAATATAGAAGAGGGCATGACATCTAATAATGAATATGCTGAGATTCCTAAGACTACATGTCAACGGAATGCGGATGTTGCACCGGATAGTAGTTATGTTTTTAGCATCACAGATGATGAATTTATCATTCCGAATGAATTGGTAGAAAATATGTGTTTCCGGAGAAAATCAGAACTGCAATTCGCCTTGCACGGTTGGTCAATCAAAAATAATGTTCAATTTGTCGTTGTGTCGTCGAACAAACAAAAATTTACAGTTGCTTGTGTACAACATGATACTATGCCGATAAAGTGTCCTTGGTGTTTACATGCCAGCTTAAGCAAGCGATTGGGTGGGGTATGGAAAATAGCTACCATAAAGGGTCCACATACGTGTACGAACCCTATTCTTCAAGCAGGTCATAGGCAATGTAATTCACAGTTCATTAGCTTATTTATTATTCCAACTATAAGAAAACAAATGGATATAAAACCTAGAGAAATAATTGGAAGAGTTGAGGCAAAGTTTAACATTAAAGTTTCATATATTAAAGCATGGGATGCACGTCGGAAGGCTATTAAAGTAGTGTTTGGCAGTTGTGAAAAGTCCTACCGATCACTGAATTTGTTCATGGAAGGTATTGTTCAAGCTATGCCTGGAACTGTGTACAAAATCCAATCTTCAAGTCCATATAGATTTCAAAGGTTATTTTGGGCTTTCGATCCATCTATTAGTGGTTGGAGGTTTTGCCGGCCTGTCCTTAGCATGGATGGAACTTTTCTTTTGGGTAAGTATAGGGGAACATTACTCATTGCAGTTGGGCTTGATGCGAATAACGGGCTATTCCCATTAGCTTTTGGAATTGTGGAGTCAGAGTGCAACGAATCTTGGATCTGGTTTCTCACCATGTTACATGATTTACTCCCTGCTGTTGCAAGTAGAACTAATCTTTGCATCATATCTGATCGACATCCTGGGTTGGTGCGTGGATGTCGGGAAATCTTTCCTTCGGTAGCACACCGTCACTGTCTTAGACACTTACGTGAAATTAAACTTCAAGAAAGCTGTTCGCCAAATAAGAGTATCTGATGTGGAATTTTTATGCCAGAAAATGTACGCAGCTGGGAATACTGATGATGCAAAATTATTCAATCAGAGCATGTTAGATATAATAAGAATTAAGCCTGAACTTCATCAATTGTTAGTTGAAAGGGATGTTTCGAAGTGGTCGTTGATATTTGATGTCGGATTCCGTTACGGAGTAATGACAACAAACGCCTCAGAAGCATTTAATGGAATTTTGAAAAGAGCTCGTGGCTTACCGGTGCAAGCACTTATTACTGCCATTTATTACAATGTTGTTAGAATGTTTGTTCGTCGACTCGAGCTCATTCAAACTGAAGAACATCAGAGTAATAATATTTTTTCCCCACGAGTCCAAGCTAAATTAAGAAAACTTGAAAACGATGCAAGAAGAATACCAGAGCCTATACGTATAAATATGCATGAGTTTCAAGTTTTTGATATGTCCTCAAGATCATACAGTGTGGACGTTACACCGGGTGGTAATAGTGTATGTAGTTGTGTGAAACCTTTTATTTATCACATGCCATGTGCTCATGTCATAAGTTCAACTGCATCAGTAAGGATAAGTCACCTGGAGTTTATTTCTGAATATTACACAATGAAAAATTTAAAATGACATATTTAGAAGAATTTCACACAATACCGGATAAGGAATACTGGCCAAATCATGATCCTGCCAATTTTCAATCATTTATCATTTCACCAAAGCCAACTAATTATTCAAAATAATATAAAATAGGTATTCAAAGTGCGCATATAAAATATTTCTTCTAAAATAATTAAATCACAATAGTATATATTACAATAATTTCAACAAAACAAAAGTACAATCTGAACTACAAAATCATCCGTACTTTTCAAAATCAGACTTCCTGCTTTTACCAGACTCAGCCTACTCCACAGAACTCTTACCCTTGACTGGAAGATTACAAACAACTGGGTGAGTATGAAACTCAGTAGGCCAACCCCTTTTTTCCCATAATAGAGTTAAATTCACAGCTCAACATGAAAATAAATAAAATTATAAGTGTCTTTTACATTATAATTTTGGGTATATTAGTTCTTGTATGAAAGTAAATGTAAAAATGCACATCCATTAATGTCCCTTATATTTCCTAAATTCGACCTCCCACATGCTACAGACAGGTGCATAGTAGAGCCAAAACAGAGCAGAGTATATTCCAACTCAGAGTTAGTTCAAAGCCATGATAAAGTATAATAATCCAAAATAGAGATATATTCACTTTCGGCCTAAGAAGAACATTTCAAAGTATATTTTTTTCCACAACAAAGCTCTAGAATGCCATGTAATGCATGATAATGTAAATGCAATGTGTAACTTAATAATTTAAAACAATTAGAGATTAAATATCAATTTCTATAAGAACCCTCACATTTCAGGTGCCTATGAAAATTTCTCAGAATTTTACTAAATTTATACAGATTATGTAAAATGCTAAATGAATATACTTTGTCAATTGTACTTAGGTTTAGAGATGCTACCATTCTCCAGAATCATCAAAATTTCATATAGAGTAACTGATCGATGGAATTTTTCATTCTTACAATTAACTTATCTAGAATAGAGTATATAAAAATATACTAAATGTTATACGGTGAAATATTTTTCAAATTTAAGAAAAACACATTTAAAAGAATATCTTCTTATAAACACTGAGGAAATTGAAATCAGAAATGCGGCATGGGCTGCTCATCTCAAGCCCAACAATTTTCCTAATTGACTGGACGGACGATTTGGTTGGGAATATAAGTTAACACCACGCAATGAAACAAACAAGAAAGTAAAAACAATAAAAAGTAAAAGGACACCAGGATTTAATGTGGAAAAACTCAAAATCGGAAAAAAAATATTACGGAGTCACAAAAAAAAATCCACAATGAAAATAAGGAGGAATAAATACATATATCTCATTCTCTCCTTGCTTCCCTACACTTTTGCACTGTTCTCTCACACAAAACACAAGAAAAATTCAAGTAAAATCACCAAGGGACACCACCCTTTAGAAAACAAGAAAGAAAACTTTCCAGTCCGCTTCCAGCATTGCAGTGCCAATTGGGAGTGTTGCGGTGCTCAAGCATCTGTAATCATGATGCTTGGCGCTCAAACCCGCAACCATGCGACACTCCACAATGCTACGGTGCCGAATCTAGACACTGTGTTCTTTGTCATTTCTCCCAATGAAATCTGCAATGCCGAGGGTTTCCAACGTCGGGGCTCTCGAGTACATATCACCGAGGTGTTGTAAAAAAAAAAATCCTGAACCCAAGTAGGGGGGGGATACCCTGCACCCCCCCAGGTCACAGGCTCAGACTTGCCTACCTTTGAGATGGTTATGTTGGACATTCTATAGGGATTCCTATTTGGACTTGAACGAGATAGATTTTTGGCGGCATGTTCGTGCGTACATTCTCTTTCTGATGGGTACTTATCTAGTCCCGGACACCTCAGGTTGTGAGATTCATTTGAGGTTCTTACCTTTGTTGGAGGACTTGGGGTTGTTCAGCACATACTCTATAGGGGGAGCAGTACTAGCTCACTTATACCGGGAACTTGCTGAGGCTACTAAGCCTAAGAGGGCCAATATTGCAGGCTGCATTCACTTGCTTCAGATTTGGTGTTGGGAGCGACTTCATGTTGGACGACCTGCACTTCATGTCCCACATCATGTCAATTTGGATGGACTTTCTGTTGGCTATAGGTAACCAAAAATAAAAATGCAAATAATTATATATTTTCATTTCTAATCATAATAATATATAAATTTTTGGGTTTTTTGTAGGTGGAATCAAGAATTCATAAGGCAGCTCTCAACAGGTTGCCTCAGCAGCTACAGAGATGAGTTAGATGGACTTTTAGATAGCCAGGTTTGTATTCTTTTTAGTAATATAGAAATTCCCTCTCAGTTCGCTGATATACAATTATTTGATTGGCTAGGTGATTTGGGAGCCGTACACCACTGAAGTTCACTCTCAGGTCGCTGATATATGCTTATCAGGAGAAGCTATCTGGTTGGCTCGTGTGCCTCTGGTCTGTTGGACTCGGGTGGAGTGGCACCTCCCCGATAGAGTTGTTAGACAGTTTGGGCTTATTCCGACCACGGAGGTTCAACCAATGGAGCTCAAATTTGCCCGAGTTGATGGGCGTGGTAAAGCTGATACAGATTGGATGGTGTACCACCTTCCTTACATTGGATTGTGGGAGGATAGACGAGCATATATCATTGAAGGAATTACTGCGGGACCTGATAGTGGACACTTCATTCACGAGTACTTACAGTGGTTCAGGTCCTGGGCGACATTATACATGTTAAAGCCACCAACAACACCACCGACTACATACTACCCCAGAGCACCTTCAGAGCGATATTTGGTACGTAATATCAATGTGTTATATACTTCATTTCTTAATAATTATAACATTATTGAAGTTTTATTTATTTTTCTTTCACTCAGCGTAATTTCTTCGTAGAGACAGAGAGGGCAGTGTTACCTTTGGTTGGTTCAAATGACTACAGCAATGCCGATAGTGTTATTAAGAGAATTGCTGAGATGGCAGTGGATTTGCGTAGAGAGGTTCATATCCCTGATTACCTATACTCTGAGCATGGATATACAGGGTCTCCATACGAGTCCTTCAGTCCAGTGATAGGTGAGCCTCAGTCTACTGATGCAGGACCATCATCGTATCAAGATTTGGGACCTTCTCAGCCTTTCTTCACTCAGCCGACTCAGCAAACTACACCAGGCTGGTACCCACATGAGCATGTTCCAGACAGTACTCTAGCAGGCACAGTTGAGGCAGAGCAGGAGGGCATCTTTGGGGTTGAGCAACATGTTATATATATATATATATATATATATATATTGTACATTCAATGCAACAATTATTATGCGATAATTTTTTTTTTTTTAAATTACATAAGTCGCCCGTTAATCGGGCGACTTAGAAGTCGTCGATACAATAGGCGACTTTACTTCCAACTTAAATTGCCGAATGAAACGGCGATTATGCCTACTTTTAATTTTTTTAAATTATGCTTATCTTCTTAATTAACTTCCTAATGATGCTTAGACTGAAAATTTGCCCTCCACTTTTCAATTCAAATCAACGACTAAGATCACTCATGACTTAAAGAAAAAAAAAATCTAAGAGCTAAATTTGAATCAAAATTAGAAACTTAATTGATGAATTAAAACATTTTGAGTTTATTAAATTTAACACAGTTGTGGCCGAATTAAATACCAAATTTAATGAATTTTATTTTAATTTTATTATAATGATTTTAAATTGTTTGAATTATACCCAATTCTCTCAAATAATATCAAGAAAAATTATAAAGCGTTGGCCGAACTCGTCGATTTCAGAATGCAGTTGAATCGAATTTAATTGGGCTTGACGACTCTCTATTAGATTATTATATTCAGAACCACATTAAATTTGGATTGAATTGATTTTAATTTAGGTCGAGTTATCAAGTTGGGTCGATGCTACGTCACTAGGTGTCCACCTAAGGGGGAATCCTGAAGGACAACGTCTATACTAGGCTACGAAGACCTAGGTGCTAAAGATTTGATTCTGAAAAAATTGACCTTGAAAAATGAGGTCAACAATAAATGAACTAATAAGAATGCTAGAATTTATCAAGATGTATTTCAAAGTCGCACAATTTGCATCAAGATTTGCCAGAATGTCTCCTTGTAGGCACTTATCCCATAAGGTACTTTTCTATACTCCGCGGAAATCATGGAAAGCAAACAAGTTGACCAGTTAGACGAGCGGAGGATGAAGTTTGATTATTAGGCGATTGAAACGGGTACTGCATGAAATCGGTCTACTAGATAGGGGCTTGCGCCTATAGGAAACCAAAACTCAAATCATAAAGTCCTTGCAAAATGAGTGCGAAATCTTTGGGTAGTGTCTTATCTACACCCATTTGCCTTCCCAAAATTTACCCCGGAACTTAATTTCATTAAAACTCCCTCGCCAAAGAAAAGCAACATCGGGCGGAGACCGGGGCCGAATTTTCAGAGCCCACATCAAAATGGGCTTCAAATTCTTCATTTTACTTTAAGATTATTGTTATATATAATACGTTGAATTACAACAATCTAATATAAATTTGATGACTTTGAAGTCCATCCTGATATACTTTGTACTCAAATATCATGGTTGTAATGTTGCCATGAAAAAAATAGTTTTTTTTTAAAAGCTGTTGTAGAAAGTAACTTCCTTATACAAAAAAATTAATGAAAGCAGTTAAAAAATAACAATCAAACAAAAATTATTATTACGATCTGAATACAAAGCAATCAAAAAGTTATCCCAAAATGAAACTGTAATCGATATTTAAAATTATTGAAAATTAGAGCATATAACCCTACTGCTCATATTCATAAAATAACAAAATTACGTTGCTTTCAAAAGAGGGGAAGTCACAGGAACAAAATCAAGAAATTTTTTAGCTAGAAATGTTTTGAGCCGGACCAGAGCCACTATATAGCTCCGCCCATGGCAAGACGAAAGAGGCAAAATGTGTGAAAGAGATGGCTCGCGAATGAAGATGATATCGGTGCAAACTAAGCATTCCTTTTTCATGACAAAATGTAGATGGATATTCATTATTGACATGGCTCATTGAAAACGTCGGTCACACAAAATTTTATTTTATTTTATTTTTTTTTGGAAAATTTTGGGGCAGAGCCCTTCCATATATCAAAAAGGATTACAAGTAAAGGAAATAACAGAAATTATAACTCCAAATCTCAAAAAAAGGAGATAAGGAGTTCTAAAGGAAAACAAAATACATAACAGAAGCAGAAAAAAAAAAGGCTCAGGAGCCAATAAGGACTCAGGCTATTCTGTCAATACATGAATTGGGTCAGTTCTAGGTTTGAGTGGTACTTGTTGAAGTATGAGAGCTGGCAAAGCCCCAGGCATGTGCAAAGAGCAAAAGTATTTTGTGCGGACATCGAACAGCGATCAACCAGTGATGCGGACATCGAACGTCATTCGGAGAGCAATTAGAATGCGTCATGTCACCCCTTCGCTCAGTATTGCGGCTCCTTACTGTTGACATGACTTCACATAATTCGCCTACGGACGTAGAGCTGCATCCGGCATCTCCACAGAATAATTTTTCATGCAACAAGGGCCAAGTGCAGAACAAACAAAATGGGATTGTGAAATACATAATTTTATATATGAAATAGAAAATTGATTTTTTTTTAAGAATTTAGGCAACTGCGTTTATTGAAGGTGGACAAATTAGTCAAAGTGCTTATTCTTCTTAAAAAAAAAAACAAAATGGGCAATTGACGACCCAAACCTCTTTCTGGTTGGCTGGTTCCACCCTTTATGAGAAGAAATTATTACGTGCTGAATCCGGGCGCGTCCGGAGGCCAATCCGAACATGCAACTTCACTTACTGCATTGTATATTGGGTGACGTGAGGTGTTTGGATTGACCTCCATACGCGTTTGAACACCGCACGTAATAATTTTTCCTTGATGAGAGCCTTCAAAACATTTCCAAATAGGTTTCAAGGGTAATACGGCCAGATTTTTGTACTGTCTAAGTATGTGCCGCATATTTTTATTATAAATTAAGTTATTTTAAACGTATTTCTAAAAAATATAAAAAATAGAAAACATATAAAATTGATATGTTATTAGAAAATTGATTTATTATAGTATAGATTTTTATGCAATTGATAGATCTTAAAATCCTCAAATATTTGAATGATAAATATTTTGAAATTAGCTTTAGGCCCTCCAAATTCTAGCTCGACAAATTTATTGTAGCAACGAATAGATTGATGAAAAGAACCCAATGATGTTAAAGTATCTTTATCCTAGTTTAAATGAGCAAAAAATCCAACACTCCAAAGCATGATCGGCAATTTCACAATATGATTTGGGAGATCAAATAGAGAATGATTCCATAAAAGAGATTGAGAGTTTTGCCCACCACCAATGATGATGCCCCGCCATCGTCAATAAGGCCTTGATGTTGATGACAACATCAAGGCTAATACAAACAAACTAGATCGAAATCAATTATCACCACTAGGCCAACGCCTATCATTAGTATCAAGAACAACGCCCGTCGTTACTACTAAGGCAAATAATCATATTTTTGTGCACTTTATTTCTATAAGAAGAGGAATAAAACATTTTTTTTGTCAAAATGAGCTTCAAAATTATTGTATTTATTTTTAAACGAGCACAACACACATTTTAATTGATTTTTCATGTATTATTCTCATCTTAAAAAAAAGTTTTAAGATTTATCTAATTAAAATTTAATGAATATATCATCTTGTGTTTTAATAGTATTACCAGCATCACAAACGTTAAAGCAAAACAGAATATGAAGAGATCATAGATATATAAATGAGAAGATGCAGCTGTAAATGGTTCTAGCTCCTCCATTCATACTATAACAATTTAATATAAGTGTATATATACATAAGAAGAACCAAAGCTGATAATAATCAAGCCGTTGATGTGGAATATTGTCGAAAGATTGAGATGGAATTTGGCAGTTTTCAGCACTTGGAGTGCTTCAGTTCTGATGTCAGTGAGGAGAGATAGTGCTTTGTGTTTTAATAGTGATATGTAATCAACAGTGGAGGAATTTGAGTTGGGACCGTTATCAACCTCTCTTAAATTAATGCTCCATGAGGGGAGCGTTAATTTGTTCCTAAGATACTGAGAACATTTGATTGGTAAGTCTTTAGTAAAGATGTCAGCCGGTTGATCGATTGTTGCAATATGATGAAAAATGATGACATTCGACTTGATGCATTCCCGAATATAATGACGATCTGTTTCAATATACTTGGTTCTTGTATGGAGTAGAAGATTGTTGGCAACATAGATAGCTGAGATATTATCACAATAAAGTGGTGTAGGTTGTTGCAGTGAAGAATGAAAGAAACAAAGCCAAATAATCTCAGTGGAAGCTAAGGTAAGGGCTTTGCAATCGGACTCAGTCAATGATCTAGCTACTGTTGCTTGCTTTTTGGTACACCAGCTCATGAGTGTCAAACCAAGGTACAAAATCCAGTAGTGGATTTTTGGTCATGCTTATTGTCAGCCCAGTCGACATCTACATATGTCGTAAGCTCTAGTTTTCCATGTGCAATAGGTGAGGCAAGGTGAAGAGTTCCTTGGAGATACCATAATATGGGTTTGATCATCTAAAAGTGTTGATTTAATGGATGATGCATGTGCTGACACAGTTTACCGCATATGACAGATCGAGATGTGTGAGCGTAAGATTCTGCAGCGATCCAACAATAATCTGATACAATTGAGGATCAGAGAAAGGAAGTAAAGATTGAGGAGATTTGTTTGATTTACTTGCTATAGGCTTTTGTAGAGGTTTGCAAGAAGCCATGCCATCCCTATGAAGAATTGTTTTAGCATATTTGCATTGATGTAGCAGAAAACTAGAATTTGTTTTCTGCAATTGCAACCCAAGAAAAGTGTATAATTTACCCAAGTTTTTAAGTTGAAAATGTTTTCGTAGATCTTGCAACAGTTGAGAGACTTGTGAGGAAAGATTGCCCATAAGAAGTATATCATCTACATAGATGAGTAAGTAAATGAAGTTTGTGGAAGATGTGTAAATTAGTAACGATGGATCAACGTCATTGAATTTAAAACCCCATTTGAGTAAATAATTGACAAACATGGAAAACCATTGTCGAGGGGCTTGCTTGAAACCATAAATAGCCTTGTTCAATTTGCAAAAATGTGGGATTTGAGGGAGCTTTAAAGCACAAAGGTTGTTCCATATAAACATCCTCAGTGGATTTACAAGGTAGGAATGCATTGGAGATATCAAATTGGTTGATTTGCTAATTGTTGTGAAGTGCAATTGTGGGAAATACACGAATTGTTTGAAATTTTGCAATAGAACTAGCAATTTCTGTAAAATCAAGTCCATATTTTTGTTTGTAGCCTTGAGCAACAAGATGAGCCTTGTATTGTACCACAGAGCCATCATCATGAAATTTGGTATGAAAGAGCCATTTACAGCCTAGAATATTCATATTAGGCCGAGGAGAGATTAGCGTCTATGTGTCTTGTGTTTGTAATGCTTGAAACTCTTAAGACATGGCATTTCTCCATTATGGTTGTTTAACGACTACTGTAAAGCATGTGGGATCAACTGGTGATGATGTGGTATGGAGAAGATTAAGGATAGAATGAGGTTTGAGATGACCTGTCTGGAGGCGAGTAAGCATAGGATGAGTTCGAGTGTTTGGTGTGGAGGAGATGACGGAACCATGGATGAAGTAGAAGAAGGTGGAGTTGGATTGATCAGTGGAGAGGAGTGAGGTGATGTTGAAGAATTAGTGGAGGAACTATGAGATGGACGTGTTGGTGATGAACATAGAATTTGTGGTTGAAATAAAGAGGAGGGGTATGAGGTTGGGACAAGAGTGAGAGGTGGAGGATGGGTTGTAGGGGTAACATGAATTGATGAAGTGGGGGAAATAGATAAGGTTTGAAAGGGAAAAATATTTTCATGAAAGTTGGTATGTATAGACGTGCAAACTTGGTTAGTGGAAAGATTATAATAGAGATATCCATTGGAGGCCTTTGAATAACCAAGGAAGATGGATTTTAGAGACGTTGGGGCTAGTTTGTGATGTTTATGTGAGGGCAGTAATGGATAGCATTGACAACCAAATACCTTTAAAAATTGATAACTTGGTTGCTAATGAAATAGAATTTCATACGGTGAGAGATTCAAAAGAGTGCGAGTTGGAAGACGATTTATTAAATAAACTGCGATTAGAGTAGCATAGACCCAAAACTGATAAGGTAGGTTGGTTTCCAAAAGCAAGATGTTGATGTTGTATGCCATGGTTAAGGAGAAATTCCTTGAATGTTGTATTAAGAAATTCAGATCCATTGTGTGTTCGAAATACAATTAATTTCTAACCACATTGATTTTCAACAAGTTTAAAATGAACGTGCGTTTTAGATTTTTGAAGCATGGGATAGAGTCAAGTAAAGCGAGAAAATTCATCCACAAAAATAACATGATACTTGAATTTATCAAAGGAAAGTACAGTAGACGTATCCCAAACATCTGCATGAATAATTTGTAGAGGTTTGGACGTTGCGGATGTAGGTAAAGAAAAACTAGTCCTATGACTCTTTGACTTTGTAGATAAAGAAAAGGTGCTTTTAAAAGCAAGAATAAAGTTATTGCAAATGAAGACTTCTTTGGGGACGTTTATTTTACTAGTAGCTTTTAAATTTTTCTGTCAAAACTGTACCAAAAAAATTATTTTAAGAAGCATTAAAAAAGCCCGTCGTAAATAAAACTGAATCTAAGTTTTAAGGCCTTTAGCATCAGGTTTTCATTAAAAAATTTCAACAACTCTCACCTGACTTTCCAGTAATAATCACCTAACCAAAACCAGCCTTTGTAGCTTGCTCTAGTTTGATTATTAGTTGTTGGAGAATGTCATTTGCAAAAAGGCAATAAATCTTATAAAAAATTTTATATCAACATATTCAAATTAAAAATTGATTAAAATAAATTTTAAAATTATTAAATTTATTTTAAAATAAATGTGCTATAAATTTGTCAAGTATTATATTCATATTAACAAAATATTTTATGAGGTTGAGATTCGTAATTTGATCAGAAATATTTGTTTTTTCTGATTTAAACTAAAAAATATTATAATTGAATAATATTCCTTTTTTAATATGATTTTAATTTCACTTACACTTTATTGTAGAAGCAGAAGTAGAAGAAGTGTAGAACTTAAAATGTTTATCTTCATATTAATTTATACATATAAATTTATAAAGACATTTATATTTAAATGCTTGTTTAATAGAAGAGGAAATTGACGTTGAACGGTTATGGTTTGAGAGGCTAACCAACGGCATTATTTAAAACGGTTATATGGTTATTTAATTTATTTTGATGATCATCATTTATGGGTGATTTTATTTTAATTAATTAACGCTAAATTAGTGATTATCTTTGCATCGTAATTTCTCCACGTTGAATTCAAAATTTGTGCACTATAAAAAAAACTTCAAAAATAATAAAAGTTATCCAAAATAGAGCCTATATCATTTTAAATTTATTACAGTTACGTCCCTCACTAATTATATTAATAATGTAAAATTTTTTCAATTTTATCTCTAAATATTTAAATTGGCTTGATTTTTTGAAAAAAATTAGGTTAGATTATTCTAATAAACTTTTGAAAATCTTAAAATTATTAAATTTCTTTTAAAATGAATAAAATATATTTAATATTAATTAAAATTTATATCATATAGACTAATTTTAAATTAAATTCTAATAAAAATTTTAATTAAAATTTAATGATATTTCTTTATTTTCTTTTATGTATGTAAAGATCTATATTCTACTCTACTGCTAACCATAATTACTTGTAAATCAAAGTATTGCGAGTCAAAAGCTATAGCACAGTCATATCTAATAAGGAAAAAAAAAATTGGGGAGATTTCAGAAGGAAAAGAGCTGATCTTAAATAAGCAGATAAAATAAACAAGACAGTTTGACCCTATAAGCAGACAAATGTGCGTATATTTGAATAAATAAAAGCTCAACAAACAAATATCTAAAAGGTCCTAAAGACAAACTATAATGAAATTGAAAGATTTATGTGCCTAATCTAAGAACATGAAGGATCCATTTGTGATCAGAATCTAAATGAATTTCTTGCAAATGTTCGCTTTCTAAAAGTATAAAGTTATAAAGTTTAACAATGGCTCCATAGAAGAATAATGATTTGAAAAACACAATATCTCACAATAAAATGTGTAAATCAGAGAAGGATTAAGCCATGCAAAAAAAAAAAAAAGAGGCAAATATGATAGAGGATTCATAAAGCCTTGGTATATAATGGAAGATCAGAATAGATTAGAGAGTAAGCAAGAAGAGATGAAAAACTCAAGAACAGAGAAGTAAAAGCAGACACTGTTATTGTAACCACCAATTCCATAACTTTGTCTATTGTATCTATGTATTCAACCAAACATAGATCACTTAACTTCTTAAAAGAAGTTTCTTTTGCTCCCCTGAGCCATATATTACAGCTATAGCCCTCCATATACAAGAAAGCAACAAGTTATTACATCCAATCCATGGCAATTCCAAGGAAAACTGCGAGCTCTAATGTAAAGCAGACAATAAGAGGAAAGTAAAAGCAGCCTTATGGCAAAACCAGAAAATGGGAAGGATTCAACAACTTGTAGACCCATCACATCTAAGGTGGTTACTTAGCTGTAAGAATTTCAAGAGAAGGAAGAAAATGATCCATCTATAGTGATTAGGCTCCTTTACACTGATTCAGCTGCTGGCTGCGGAAGCTAGAAGCTGGGAAGTTGCAGAGGCTCTCTTCCTCAGCAACAGCACTGCTCTCAGCAAGAGAGCTGTTTGATGGTGTTTTCTGCTTCCATGGATGATGATAGAGGAGCTCTGCTTCAGGAAACGAGGTACTGCATCGCACATCAAGCAGTAAGTCTTGATCAGAGCCGTCGTCGGTGAGTTGCAGCATGGAGCTCCGGTCGGGAGGTGACGCAAAGAGGCTTCTTGGACTGAAGCAAGTCCCTTCATTGTCCAAAAAGTCCTCATTATCGAGTATTTCCGTTGATCCTGCCTCATCAGGATTCACTACTGATGATTTTGTCAAAGAAAATTTTGTGTTGCTGGATCTGCACACTCTTTTTGGGCTCCTCATGATGCCCTTAGACTCTGAATTGTAAATTCAAAGAAAAACATTAAGGTCGAATTAAACAATCCAGACACTCCTCTTGGAAAACAATCCATCTGAGAAAAATAGATTTAAGGTTGTTTCCTACATGGACGAAGTACAAAAATTGCTTTAAGCTTATGTGAATAGGCCAGTGACAAATGGGTTACTTACTTGCAATTTGATCTAAATCAGTCCATAGTCAGGCCTTTATCACAATGCATAATCATTTTCAACAACCATCTAAAGATCATCCAAGGATGCCTCATGCATGTGACCTTAAATAATACTGAATTGATGCAAGGATATCTTAAATTCCATATGCACCACCTATATATACAGCTTAGATTACCAAATCTACAAACTCCTAAATTATAAATATTGGTATGCATAAAAATGAGATGCTGCTTGATGTCTCCAAAAAATTTACTTGATGAACACAAATTTCAAGATAATATTTTAAATTGAAAACTTATGAAATTAAATTTGGGACCATTTGAACTTCAATTTCAACAAGCTTATAGTTGATCTGAACATCTTGTCAAAATAGATTCATCGACAACACAATTGATCTGTTCTAAGTTTGAATGAAACAAAATTAAATACTTTGAGTATTTTGAAAGCTTCAAGATATTAATTGAATGAACAAATGACCTCCAAATCTTATATGTTTATAGTCAAATCAAGTAGCTCGACAATACAAATCTAACAAGCCAAAGCTCATTTAATTATGAGGACATTAAGGGATTTAAATACTGAATAAAAAATCTATCATCATGAGGATCAGTATTGATCGTTCAATGGACTATTTTTAAAAAAGATTATAAATATGACTCCATTTTTTTCTTGAGAGAGGTTTGAGTGCTAAAAGAATTGAATAACTCTATTGCATTTTTCGACAATCATAGTCAATGACACCATCAACAATTGTCGCCGCCACGCCTTGGCTTCATCCGACGATTGTCGCCTGACCACTAACATTCAATTCCGTTATTAAATTTCAACTGTTCAGTGTATACATCCAATTTTTGTAATCCTTCTAACATGAATAAGACAACTATTTTCAATTGTATGATCCCGTCTTCTTATATTATGGAGAAGAGCAGATTATTATATCTATAATTATAAAACATACTATTGCAATTGGGCCAAATCCCATGATTTTTCCATTTTTTTTTAGTTTTCAAGACTATCGTTAACATGGCAATGTTTTGCAAGCATTAACATCAATCGTCTAGTTGAGCGGTGTTGCACTTGATCTTTAAAGTAGATGTCTAAAGTTCTATTCCATGCAAACTAATATATATATATATATATGTATGTATGTGTGTGTGTGTGAAAACTTTTTATTGCATCAACGAATGCTCGGATTTCCTATTATACATTATCCATTTTAAATTATTCACCACATGTCCAAATCAGGCATGTAACCAAGAACTACAAGAAAATGTGTCTAAGAGTTTTGATAAAATTTTCTGCTATTTAATAAAACAGCGATGCTGAACAATGATCTTTACTTTATTATTCCTAGAAAAACAATATATCTAATATCATAAAATGTTTGTAGAAAAGTTTTCCTTGATTGTGCATAATAATGTTGTAAGCAAAAACTGAGTATTGGTTAGAAAAAACTAACCTTGCAAATGCTGGTTTTGGCTTTCATGAGGCCTCTTGATGGGAATTAAATTGGATTGTCCAACAAAGTTTGACCCACCTTCTCCTCTGTTTACTCCAGTAGCGTGCTTGTGCTTTATATCCTAATGCAAATGGAATGTTAGATTCAGTATCATGAATTAAACTGATTCGAGGCGCTTAATGAGACATTAACTAAACTTTTCCTTTCAACTGATGATCAAACAAGATCTTCTAGTAACTATTTGATACCTTCAGCTCTTCGTAGTGTTGCACCCAACTAGATTTAGTAAAATTAAATAGAACCAGCCTTTTCAAACTCTTGCATTCTTCAACGTTCATTTCAGAAGAGGAGAGATCGAAAATTCCATCTTGGATCAGTTGCTGGAAATAAGAAAAGTTTTCGATGAACTGCGGGCTAGAAAACAAGCTTCTGAGGCTGCAAATGTCAAAAGAACCTATTAATGGATTTGCCGAGGTGCATGCATTAGCTATCTCAAAAAGATGAAGGAAGAAAACCTCTCAGAAGCGTTAGCCGTATCAATAGAAGGAAGATATTTCATCAGTTGTTTCTGTTCATCATTTTTCATATGTTCCATGAAAACCTCAAGATTAATGACGACCTATTATGATATAAATCAAATGTGAGAAATAGGTTACTAAAGTAGCTCGAGAGGTCAAAAATTAATCAAGCACCACGGAAATTTGAGCTTACTTTAAGATCAGTAAATCTCATAGCTGAATCTCTCTTCTGCAGCACATCAAGGTACTCCGGTGGAAACCTGTCTCTGCAAATATAGATTTGACTTAACAACGAATATCCTTCTAAGGCTTTGTTTGGGACGGCTTTCTTCTTGCTTCTTAAAGCAATTTTTTAATAAAAAAAATTAAAATCTTTGTACTAAAAAGCCGCTTTAAGAAGCAGCAAAAAAGCTGTCCCAAATGAAGCCTAAGATGGGGCATCGGAAGCAAGAATGTAACTAAAGTACAAATAAATTAACAAAATCAAACCTTCTAGCATGGTCTTGTACCACATGCATAGCAGACTTTTTAAATTTGTCTATGCCAGGATTAGGAAAACTAGTTCTTTTGCTTTCATTATCCACAAAACTGGATGCAGATCTTGAATAGGGCACACCCACTAACTTTTTATCAGCAGGAAGTGAGCTTGCCTCAGATTCCTCTTCTACAGCTTTTGAACTTGGATACCTAAGAAGAACACCTCCATGTCCTATCTCAACTGAGCCCATCCGCGTTTCACCTTCAAAAAGTAATTCTTCTTCTGAGGACCCAGATAGGTTAGATGACTGTTGTTCATGCCAGATGGAGTAGAGCTCCTTTGTAAGCTTCTCAACAGAAGGTTTTAAGTTGATAACAGTTCTCTTTTTTGATGGCACTGGCACTAAGGAATCCCAGGCATTTGACTGTGCAGAGCCTACAAGTGACAAATATACTGAGAAAATCATTCCAAGTCATGATGCTAAATGATTGTGAAAATAAAGGAAGACAATCAACAAAATCTTTAATAAACTAGCATAATCATGAAAGAGACAAAAGTAACTAAAATTACATGGAGAATTATCTGCAAATATTAATACTTCATCATGGGTAAGGAAATTTAATTATAAAGAAATATTGATTCTGGAGATGCAAGAATGAATCCGTTATACAACAAAGTTCATTCCAGAAAAAAAAAAAAAGCATATGTGATGGAGCAAACAAAATTTGCAGCCGCGTTATCTTTACAAATGCTAACTGATAAAGATAGAATGGAAAATGCTTAATTTTTTAAAAGAACACTTAAAAGTTTGCCAAAAGCTTTAAGTGTACGCTAATGTCATACTACTTGCATAGGAAATGAAGAATCCTATCTTTTCTTATTTTACCAGATACTTGAAGAGTTTACAAACTCAATTTTGACACACTAGCTCTCAGATAGGCTGACCAGAAAGAAAGCAATAATATTTAAAGTGACCATCTATAAGCTAGAAATTTAACAACTCAACTGAAGAATATCTGATCAACTAGGAATTATGAAAGTAAAAGATGTTACAAGGTAATCAAGATCGGTCTGTCCTCTCCAAAATACTGAAAAGCTAAGTTTGATGTTCTAATATTTGAAATATTTTACAAACTTGCAAACGACACAAGGAAAAAATAAGATACCAGCTATTGTTTTGCATATGTAATCCCGCTGCTTCAAAGCATATTTTATATATCACATACAACTGCACCAAACAGAATGCATTGAAAAGAATAGTAGCTAAAAACAACATACAAAAAAAAAAAAAAGCAACTCAAATATGGTTGATCTCTGATACACCTGCATCATCCGATTTAGATGAATACTATCATCTTTGGTAGATGTTGCATGTGCGACTTGTCGACTTGTCCTATAGGCTATAGCTCATGATAAAACATCAGTTATGTATATTAGCTTGCTAAAAATAGTTCATCCATATGCTTGAATAGAAATAAAGGTTTAAATTACACAAATGGGTGCTAAGGCATTTTTTTATCTTATGAGATAAGGTGTAAGCCTCAAGGTGTTTTGAGATATAAGCCTCAAATAAATGAATTGTGCAAATTAAAAATTATTACACATACATCAAAGAATGAAGTAATAATATATTAACATCCTAATCTCTTAACATATCAAAAAATAATACAGTAACATCTTATCATAGTAAGAAATAACAACTTGCGCAAACTATCAAGTAACAAATTGCATAAAATTGAATATGATGCAAACATCAAAGTAAAAAGAAGATATCAAAGTACAAACTAATATCATAACAAATCAAAATAAATTTAACAGTAAGTTTCTCTCTCCCACTCTCTAAACGATAAAGTTCTCATCACTCAAGAGGTTTTCATTTGAGTTGGCATTATCTCCCCTTCCTCATCCTCAGTTGTGTCGAGACATTCTACCAATCTTCCCCCTTTTCTCCAATCATATTCATCTACTTTTCTCTGAATCAATAAATAATATTTATTTGGTTAACTAAAATAAGCCAAATGTTTTATTAGGCGTATTTTACTTGTATTTGTATTTAAGAAAACCTAGTTATAAATGATGCATACCTCGAAGGATTTGAGGAAATAGAAGCGCACCTCACATAAATCCAATGAGGTGAACTTCTCATTGCAATTTTCTTTTAAAATGCACTGAGATGGGCCTCGTATTGTGCAATGTTAAACAATGATAGATTTAAGATATAATTTTATTAAACCTCTTCAAATATCTTTTATATTGTTCGACAATCATTAAAAAATGAATATTTTTTATCCATCTTCAAGACATAACTGATAATTTGAAAATGATTCATGTTAGAATTAAATTGTAAGTTTGATACGAGACTTATCATTAATACATGAATTTATGCAATCTAGCCTAGAATGGTTTTCCATAGATCCTCAATATTTAAAATGTATGAGAAGAGTGGAGGAGACATGAGATGAAGACGGGAAAAAAGATTCACCAACCTCTTATTATATAAGCCAATTGTTTCTTCTTCCTCATTCTCATAATTCTTGGTTTCTAATTCACACTAAAAATCAGCCAATAGGATTGTACAAGTTCTACCAAACTGATACTTGTTTTATCTAGAAGGTTAGCAAAACTAACTTAAAAGAAATTTAAACATTATACATACAATCCGCCCACAACATAAAAATAAAAAAAAAAACTGATTTGAGAAATATCTAACAGGAATAATATTAGAAGGATGCTCATAAAGACATTCAAAGACTAGAACCAGTGTAAACCTGTGCAATCACTTGCATCGACGGCACAAAAATTTGCACAGCTTTCTGAGCATGAGATTGCAGATCCAGAGCTAGAACGATTGCTAGCATCTCCCTCAAAAGTTCTAATGTAGTTTTGGTCTGATTCTGAAAAAGGAATTTGACGTACTTTTTCCACTATACCATTCATATGTTTTCTTTTCTGCAGTCTCTGTTCAGTGGTCTTAAAAGAAATACTCTTCATTTTAGTAACCTTAGGCTCTTCCCATTCAATTGGCTCGCGAGCATGCAAAGGCGTGTAGTTTGCCAAAGAACCCTTGGTTCTCCATCGTGAACCACAAGCATTACATAAAACTGGCTTCTCTGGTGGCCCATTTCGCCATAGAGGAGTGCCTGTTGCAGCATTTACATTTAGAAACTTGATATAAATTAAGTTATTCCAAAATTGGATGTATCATGACTAAAAGCCCAAGAAAAAATGACTTCATTTTAGTAACAATATGAAATGCATGATGACCCTATATCTAAATAAAAACATAAAATTATTCTTCTATCTGATCATAAGCAAGTCTAGACATTGTGTTTTAAGCATGGAGTGTAGTGTGATCTTATTATGCATTTCAAACAGTAAAAAAATCTAACATTTGAATGCAAATAATGTAATCATCACTAGTATAGCATTTTCAGATAACAAACAAACGTTACCATGTCATACTGGCATGGTAGTAAATCATTTTCTACACAACATATGCACGAGAAAAGAAACCTTTCTTATACTTCTGTAAAGTTCTGCAAGTGAACTGAACGTTTGACAAGCTACTTGTATCTCGGTTTGATTACAGTTTGTTCGTGATTGTTTGTTTTAAGTAATCAAATAAGTTTGAACGGTTTTTTAAATACTCGCTTGTTAAAAAAATAAACTTGAATAACTATGTGTTCAGTTTGTTTATATTTATGAACAATATCAATAAATGCTTGTGAACAAGCTTGATATAAAGCTTGTTAAGAAACTCAATTAAATCTTTATTTTGTATATTTTCACATAACTTGTTGTTTTATTATAACAATTATTCTTATTTATAAAAAAAATAATAATTTCATTTTTTAAGTTATCTTTTTCAATATAATCAGTTTATTTATGAACAAGAAGTGTTTATTCATATTTCCTAGATTGTTTATTTAAAGTGTTCATAAACAAGCTTATTTATAAGAAGAATCATTTTCTAAGCTCTTTTGCTCATGAATTGGCTCATTTGGTAGCTCGAAAACACTTGCAAGATATGTTCATGAACATGCTTGTTTGGTTGGTCGAAAAACTTACTAGATAGGTTCGTGAACAAGATATAGTTAATTGTTTATTAATAGGCTCTATAAGGCTCATTTATTTAAAGCTCATTAAACATGAAATCAATCAAACATGAACTAAACACAAACCAAACATGAACATCTATCATTTTAAATGAACAGAAGCAGGAAAGCTCAAATCAAGCTCGAACTAAGCTTGAACAAGCTGATAATAAATGAGCTAAAATATGAACAAGCAACTGCTCAGCTCAGCCTGGTTCATTTGCAGCCCTACTTTTGTGCAGTTATCAACTTAGTGGAGTAGAATCATTTTAAGGGTTATGCCCTTTATTTGCCTTGTGTAACTCACAGTCAGGTGCTCAATTCTTAAAAAGTGGAGAATGGTCATTAATAAATTTTAGGTGGGGAAGAAATTGAAAGCTACAACAACAAGTCCATGATAAAATATCATGGCTTTTTGCCAAGTCAAATCTCACTAGATAACATACAATAAATTATTAGATGAATTTTAGTTGCTTAAGCTAGAATTCTTTAAGTGCATAGTAGGTTGCATTAACCTAAGATCAAGATAGAAAATGAGGCATGAATAAGAGGAAATTATGATAGATAAAAATGCGTCCAATAAATCAAAGCGTCGAAAATTCTTCCAAAACATGAGCATCTTTGACCGAGTATGCACTAGTTGACTTATAAAGAGGCACCAAGTAAGAAATCTAAAATGTAAACATCTTCTCACATTTTGTTTTTCAAAACCTCAAATCGTACTTTTATCATACAAAGCTTAATTGCATAATGTATCAGCTGATTAATTCATTACAGGTTATAATATTAATAAATTAGAACTTTCAGCACCAAAAAGTAGCAGATATGAGCGCCCAAGAGCCCTTGGTTAGTATATGATATGGTAAAAGCATATGCATTGTGAAGGGTATGATTAGCCAGAATAAATACACAACATAAGCAAAAGATTTTGTTCTCAGACTGCAGATTGAAAACTGTTAATATCTAAGAACAAGTAATCTTCTACCAGTGTCACTAATCAATTGCAGCATGATTCTCTACATAGGCCAGAATTTAACTTAAAGGAACTGGAAGTAAAGACAAAGAAATATGTACACTCTAAGGATTGTTTCAATTCAACAAAAAGCTGCAGTTGTGCACTATACCTTCTCAATTTTTTGTTCAAAAACTAGAGTTATAAATCCTATCGTTCAAAAAACAAAAGCAACTTTGTATTCTTCTCTTCACTATAATTAGCAGACCAAAAAAGAATACTGGCACTAAAAAACAAATGGGAGCAAGAAAACAAAGGGCCAACAATTCAAGGGAAACGCGATGTTCCCTTTTCAATCCCTAAATAGATTCCAATTCGCTTTCCCAAATTCGGAAACATGCAAAGAATCAAAGAAAAATAAATGAAGAAGAAGAAAAGGTCAATAACAAATTCATTGGATGGTCGTTCAATTTTAGAACGCCTAAACGATCCCAAACACTATAAACCTGGTGTTAAAATACTCTAATAACAATAATAACAGAACAAAAATAAAGATCCGTAGCCTGAGAACCCAAAAAAAAAAAAAAAGCCTCAGAAACATCAACAATAGCTCACTTGTAACTCCGCAATGACGGCAAGGTCCATGTTTTCCCATGTTTCTTGTCTCTTCTTCCCACGAATTAATCCCGGCAGAAATTAACAGCTAAACAGATGCAAAGATGCAGTTTTTTTAATCAAAATTCTGAGAAACTTCAAAGCAACTACTCTATATATATATTTAGAAAATATACCCAGCGCTCTTTTAAAAAAAAACACTAAGGAGTTAAGAACTCCTCTCCTCTTTAGTTGAAAATAGAGTTTCCTGTAAGCAAAGCCCAGACACCCAGCACAGCCCTGGGTCTTTTCTATCCAGAGAACAGAAAAGAAAGGAGGAGAAGATAAAAGAAAGAGATGAAGAAGGAATGGAGAAAGGGGGAAAAAATTACAGATTGAGATGGGTTTTTTCAGATGGGAATCTGTACAATCCAATGAAGAAGAAGACCATTGGGAGAATCAAATTAATTGTGGGGAAAAAGGAGAGGAGGTGAATAGGTGAGGAGAGGCCATTTTTTTTTCTTCTTTTTCTTTCTTTTATATATTTGGTCGCTAGTCCTCTACTCGTTCTGGTCTTGTTCACCATTTGTAAGGACTTTGCTGTGTGATTTTTAAAATTTTTTGTTGTGGATTTTTATTTTCCATTATGATAATTTTATTAATTAGGCTAATCAATATACCCTTAGATGTTTTACTCTGCTCTATAGTAATAGTATGCTTTGGGTGCATCAAACCTGCTCTCTTGGTGCTCTGTGTAAAAGTTTAGGTGGGAAGAATATTACAAATATATCCTGTTGACCATAGACTTTTATGCCTTATCCTCCTATTTGCATTTCAAATTTGAGCCATAGTTGAAGGATTGGAGATTAAACTCAGAGGCGCATTTCATGTGATATTTATAATTATTCAATTCAATATAGTAAAAGTATTATTTTACCAATTAAATTGTTTTTAGAAGTTTAATAGACATTTTGGTTCATTTAGATTTTGACTACTCATAGAAAGATTATTAGACTTGGGATATTTTTTTTAATTAAAAATGATTCTCAAGAATTTTGGAATAATGGAGCCATTCCAATTTTAACGAAATAAATAATGTATTTTTAAAATTTTATGTTAATTAGCTATTAGAAATTTCGAAGTTTAAAAATTTCACACTAGAAATTATTTTGTGCGGAGGCCAGACGCATAACGCCGTTTGGAGACCAACCAGAATGCACCATGTCAGCCGTACCGAGCAGCACCGATCCGCGGTACCGAGCAAAGGGGTGACGTGGCGCATTCTGGTTGGTCTCCAGACGGCGTTTGACGTCCGCACATAATAATTAATCCTCAAATGGGGCATTCTCTTTCTATCTATGTCATGTAAAAAGGGCCATGCCTATTATTATTATATATGATTGTATTGTAAATTAGGAATAATCTATCGAAATATATATAAAAAATCCAAACTTATATACAATTGAAATTTAAATCAAATTTACATTTGCAACATAATTTAAAGTATTTTGTATAGGATTTTAATAATTAAACTATAAAAAAAAGACGTACATACAATTTATTGGGAGATTTTCTACACGTATAGAGTTTGCTAGTTATGAACTAGATAGTTCTAGCCTAGATAATACTAAGTTGGCTCTTATAGATGCGAGAGCTATGACATGAACACTACTAAAAAACAGGACCTTTCGCAGCGGTTTTTTGCACCGGTTTTAAAAACCGCTGCAAAAGCACCCAAATGCGCTCGAAATCGATTTCTTTTGCCGCGGTTAAAATCGATGCAAGTCGCACCGGTTAAAACCGCTGGCAAATCCCATACGTAACTTTAAGACAACCGAATCCCTAATTCATCTTCCTCTGTGCTCGCGCGTTCGGACCGAATCCAGACAACCATGCGCGACGAAAATCTCCTTCTCTTGCGAATCCCAGCCGACCGTCCCTTCCATCTTCGTAACTGTGAGTTTATTTCCCTTCATTCTCTTCTTCTCATTGTTTTTCTTCACATTCTTTTCTCTTTTCTTCATTTTATTCATTTGCATTCCTTAAGGTTTAGGTTAATCACAACCCTAGCTTAGCGTTGGTTGTGTGCCGTATTCCCACATGTTCGGCCATATGCATATATTTAAAATGACGTAGTGGGCTAATTTGAGCGAATACAGTGAGAGAGTTGGGAGTTGTCGGAAACATGAACGGGAATACGATGGCCCGTCGGACACGATGTCATTTTTCCGACAACTCCTAACTCCTTACTTGAATATTTAAACAACCGCTGCCATTAGACAAAAAAACAAAAACAAATGGATGTTATTACAGAAGATCAATTAAACAGTAAAAGCTCTTAAATGCACCGTGCAATTTCACACTTTTTGATGTCGTACATGATGCATTTACATGTTTTTCTATATATTTGTATAATACTCTTGCTTTTTTTGATGCATTTGTGTTGTGTACTTCCATGTTTTTGAATGCACATATAGTGAATTTGAACACTTTTTGTTCATTTGCACACTTTTCTGTGGTTTTTGGTGCATTTGCATAGTGTATATACATACTTTTAAATGTGCCTACTTGATGCACTTGTATGCTCTTTGATACATTTGCATGAATTTGCATAGTATATATTGAAGTATGGAGATCCATAATTGTGGTATTCAAAGATGTTTTAAGTTGTGCAGCAAGTTTCAAGTGAGAGGCTAGCATTATATCATTTCATTTGGCTAGAAATTAACTTCCTTGGTTATGTTTGTGGTGCGATTCTAATAGCTTTAAATTATAGGATTGTGATTGGGGAAATGAAAATTATTGGGATCCAAGTGAAATTATAAACAAACCATAACAAATGAAATGTGGGTTATGCAAATATCTATTACAAAATGTCCAGGCGTGAAGTTACTTCTATACTTTACAAAGTATGTGTACCGATCTCTATGAGAGACTCTACAACTAATGATCATACTTATCGATGGATCAAACATTTCTTAAATAATGGATCCAATTGCTTTTGTAAATTTCAAACGTAGGTCGTTTAAAATAGATTGGAATCAATAATTGGGTAGTTTATATGAATCCCCGTTCTCCATTTGTCCTTAGCATTGCATGAGATTGTGAGATTTTGAATCTATTTTACATTCTTTATCCAAGTTACCATCAACATACTCTTTTTCTATTTGGGGTTCGGGCCAACCCAAACTTGTGCTCTTCTTTACCATGCTTTTGAACCTAGTCAAAATAAGCTATAATTGTAAAATTTCTAAATGGTTGGAGAGGACAAGTAAATTTAGATCTAACAAGAATAACATTTAGAGTTGCTTTGTCATGGATAATACCATGGAATGAAATTTCTACCATGGGTAAAATTTTCTTTCAATGCATATATATTTCCATACCACCATTAAATATATCTCTATTTTAAGCACTTTCTGATTGGCTACAGTTACCCATTCAACCAAATATCATGAATGCATCCCCTACAAACTTTGTGAATAAATGGTTGTAAGAGTGCGATGAGAACATGCATTATTTGAAGGAAAACTTCCATGTGACTGAATTTAGTACATTATTTAATTATAACTTCCTGTGATCTCTCTCTAGCTTTCATTTTAGGTTATAAATAGGTCCACAAGGCATGTATAATAGATTGTATATTAAGCAATGAAATAAAATTATATTGTTCATCTATTATTTTGTGTATGCTTATTAAATGTGTATTTCTTGAGTGCTTTACAGGCTTGATGGATAAGAGTTGGATGTCAAAATCAAAATGGAGTAGTGATTATATTGAAGGTGTTGATAATTTTTTAAAATTTGCAACACAAGGTCAAAGTTCAACACAAAAATTTTATGTCCATGCAAATTATGCATTAACAGATATTTTCATTATGTAAAAGAAGTCAAGTTACATTTACTCTCCAAAGGAATTTTCCCTGGATATGTTGTTTGGAATCGACATGGAGAGGAACATGCTTTTTTAGCTGAAGTTACAAGATCAGATACATGTACTGATACTAGTAATGTTGTTGAAGTACAAACTGAAGGCGAGTTGCACAGATCAAATGATATAGAAGGATTGTTAAGGGACACATTCTGCTCAGTCAATGCCAATTTAGATGATGAACATAATGAAATAACATAGATTTGACAAATGATGAAGCAATGAAATATGGTGATTTATTGCTAGAAGCAGGAGCAAAATTATACCCTGGTTGTAAGTCATTCACAAAGTTATCCTTCATCTTACATTTATTTCGCCTAAAGTTCCTACACTCTTGGTCTGCAAGATCTTTTGATCAACTGATTGAGTTATTGATTGAAGCTTTCCTTGATGGTTCATTGCTACCTAAAAATACATATGAAGTGAAGAAGATAATGAAAGTATTTGATCTTGGATATATAAAGATAGATGCATGTCCAAATGATTGTTTTTTATTTTGGAAAGATAGATCTATTCAAGAGGTTTGTCATATTTGTGGTTCTTCACGGTGGGCAGGGGCTAAAAAAAGTTCAGCTAGAGGAAAGAAAAATCAAATGAAGTCTGCTAAGGTTGTTCGATACTTCCCATTGATTGCTAGGCTTCAAAGATTGTTTAAAACAAAAAAAATCTGTTGAAGAGATGATTTGGCATGCCAAACAGAGAAATATAGATGGGTTGTTACGACATCCAGCTGATGGAGAAGCTTGGAAATCCTTTGACTCTCGATATCCTGATTTTGCTTCAGATCCACGTAATGTTCGTCTCGCTTTAGCCAGTGATGGTTTTAATCCATTTAAGATTATGAGTAGTACATACAGCATTTGGCCCATACTTTTGGTTCCTTACAACATGCCTCCGTGGATTGAAATGAAACAAACGTCTTTCATTCTATCTACTATTATACCAGGGGAGAAGAGTCCAAGAAATAATATAGATATCTATCTCCAACCACTAATAAATGAGTTGTCTGAACTATGGCATGGAGTCATTTCTTACGATGCAGCATCTGGACAATCTTTTAACTTACGAGCTGCATTAATGTGGACGATCAATGATTTTCCGGCTTATGGTATGCTTTCTGGTTGGAGCACTAAAGGTAGATTTGCTTGTCCTTGTTGTGCCGAAAATACAGAGTCTTTATGGTTATATAAGGGAAAGAAATTCTCATATATGGGTCATCGTCGTTGGCTACCAGAAAATCACTTATTCCGTCGACAGAAACAGTACTTTGACAATACAGAAGAGATCCGTAAAGCACCTAGAAGGAATACTGGTAGTGATATTTTACAAAAATTACAAAATGTTCAGTTTGATTTGGGCAAATCTAGAAGCTTGAAAAGAGGGCGTACAGTAGAATTCAGTGAGCATCATATTTGGAAGAAAAAATCAATTTTCTTTGAGCTACCTTATTGGGAGTATAATTTACTACCACACAATCTTGATGTCATGCATATTGAAAAAAACGTATGTGATAATTTCATTGGCACTTTACTTGATCTTGATAAATCTAAAGATAACTTGCAAGCACGCCAAGATTTAGTTGACATTGGAATTAAAGCCGAGCTGCATCCACAAATTCTTGAAGATG